ATAAAATAAAATAAAATAAAATAAAATAAAATAAAATAAAATAAAATCACATCCCAGAGTCAGCAAAGTGGGAGCCCATCAGCTGTTTCCAGCCCGCAGATATGTTTATTTGGCATGTACAAAGTTTAAAAAATTGTGGCGGTGGATGTTATGGGTTGAATTGTATTTCCTCAAAACCATATGGTGAAGTCCTAACTCCCAGCACTTCAGAGTGTGACCTTATTTGGCAGCAGGGTTGCTGCAGATATAATTAGTTAAGATGAGGTCATACTGAAGTAGGTCCCTAATCCAGCATGACTGGTGTCTTCATAAAAGTGAGGGGGAGGCAGACAGAGAGAGAGACCTGGACAAAGGGAGAACACCACATGACTCTGAAGGCAGAGATCTATCAGCCAAGGAAGGCCAAAGATTGCCAGTCAACCACCCAACGCTGTGGCAGAGGCGTGGAACAGATTCTCCACGGCCCTGGGGAGGAGCCAGTCCTGCCCACACCTTCATCTGAGACTTCTCACCTCCCGAGCTGGGAAAAACATATATATTTCCATTGTTTAAGCCACCCAATTTGTGCCACTGTATTATAGCAACACTAGCAAACTAATACTGGGGGTATCATTGTCAGATGGATAGATTTTCTATGAACATTTAGACTTTGAGCTTCAGTGGGAAAAGCCTGAGGCCCCAGCCCGGATGTCGGGGCATCAGCTGGTAGCAAAGGGAAGGATGCAGTCAGTCTTGGGACCAGAGAACACAGGCCCTTGCCAGGGGCCGCCACTCCTTACACCAGGGGCTCGCTGCAGCGCGAGAATATGGGCTCAGCGCTATCAGACTTTCTGACGTATTTCTAGAGGAGCTTGATTTCTGTTTCTCATTGCTGATGAAACAGGATTTCAAATGTTGGCAACTAATTGATCACTCTGTTTTCTCCCTGACCCGCTCCACTTCAGTTTGCATACTTGATCTGGCTGGTCCCTCCGGTCATCTGAGTTTGTGATCGCCATTTGTTCAGAGTTGCACGGCCTGGCAAGATGCCGAGAGAAATTCTAGTTCAACAAGGGAGATGATTCAGGGGGTTGAGCAATTTGCTGCCGGGAGAAAGCAAGCCCTGATGTATCCACCTGTCCCCTCTGCCCTGTTGAGTGAGAAGCTTTCTGAGGCTGGATCTGTGCTTTGAATAATCATTTGTTGGGGCCTGTTGCACACCGGGTGGTGGTCTAGAAGCAAAGCAAGTATCCGGTGTATGATGGCATATATTCTTCCTAATCCCCTTACTGCTGAGGATGAAAGGAAGTATTGTTAATAGTCACCATGTACTAAAAGAAAGATATTAAGCTGTAATTGTTCCGAACTCATAAATACAAAAGGTCATTCTGTTGAAGCTACGTTGCATTGCCCTCCTCCATCTCTGCAGCTTAAATCGCTAATAATAACAACCACCCTTTACACAAAACAGACAATGGGGAAGGCATGGTACCAGAATCATTAATGACATTCCTTTCGTTATAATTGTGTTAGGCAATTACAACGTGCCAGCCCATGGTAAGCACTTCACGAACATAATCTCGTTTAATGCTCATATCAGCCCTGGGAGGGGAGTATGTGGTTCTCACTGTAGAGATCAGGACACTGAAGCCCAGAGATGTTTAGTAACTTGCATGAGGTCCCAGCAGGACTCAACCTCAGGTCTCTTCAGTGCCAGATCCAGGCTCCCCCACCCCCCACCCCCCACTGCCTTCTGCTTCCCGGTTTCTCTTTTTCACAAAATGCCTCTGAGGGAGGTCAGCCTCCGGGCCCAGAGTCCCCCAAGGCCTCGTCAAGAGTGGTGTCCCAAGCCCCAACACCCGAATCCCAACCCTGTCTACATGTTCTGTTAGGCACAATTTGTAATCTCGTCTGAAGTCAAAATCTTAGTTTCTCTCCAAAAAGACTCCATGACATTTTGTGTATATTGTAAAGATGTACAGGAAGGGCCCCCTGTGCCC